AGTTCCTTCGAAAGAAACTGTGTGGATGTGTGTCTGTGCCGTCCCAACGTAAAGTCGCAATCGCTGTGAATGGCAGTTCACTGTCGGACGCCTGAAATTTCCGTTCGAGCGAATCGTCTGTTTCGCGAGTCTCACGCTAGCTTGTGACAGACTGTTTAGGTCAAAGACAGGATGAATGCTGGTGATCTTCATCTCAGTGGAATGCATTTGATTTGACCAGGTGGGCGGAGCGAATTCCACCAAAGAGTGAAAGGTGGTGGAATTGCTGATGAAGACAAGCTGGGGAGTTGAAAGAGTAGTGCGCAAGTATGCCTAGTTTTTACATATCCCTTGCGTAGGACTGGGCCACCAAGCGATGCCACCCTGTTCCACGGGAGGTGGGCCGCACAGTCCAACACGTGTCAAGTGGATGGAACAAAGTTTGCTTATCAGTGTACTTTTCGGCGTGGACATAAACAATTCAAACTATTTGGAAACAGTCAAAGATCAGAAGAGTTCAACACATGAACACAACTGGGCCATTGAATGCGATTTCAGTGTAGACAATCACGACTGCCTCGAAGTTATCAACCCTCCGGCGCAACCGCTTGCGAGCAATGCATCAAGGCTGGTCAATCAATAAGGTTGCCGTTTCAGTCATGTCGTTTGAAACAGCAGCATACATATCATGCTTTCGGGTGTCACCCACCTGGTTGATAAATTGCCTGAAAACCAGTTTCGACCAGGTTGTCGTCCGAGGTGAATTCGATGTCGACTTCTTTGAGAAACTTGATTGGTTTTGGCCGTTCGAACCCGGAGTATGGACCATGTGCTTGCACACCTTCATCCGTCCATACACGAATAAGAAGGGAATCGCTGCTACACCCGTGTGATGGTTCGAGCTGAATTCAACATAAGCGGATGCATGATGTACTTACTGTTTGCCTACTTTTCATCAGGAAGGCTAACGAACAATCTGATTCGTCACATCAGCCATGGGTTAGTTTCTCATACGAATCATGTAAAATTATACAAACAAGCTCGGTGCGGAATAAATGGGGCGAACGTCACAACGGTTTATCTGGCACTGTCCGTGAACACCCCTTGTAGGAGGCCATACACGGAAGTCTTCAAGGCTATCACAATCCTAAAGCTTGTGGGCACTAGGATAGCCGATTAAATATACCGGGGAATGTCAGTTCAGCGTTGTCTAGTCTATATTTTCCACTCAATGCCGAAAGCGCTTTCAAGCGCAGTGAAGTCGACCAGCCGGTGCGATATCAGTTGTGTGGCTCTTACTTTCGTTGGATGGTCCCAGACAACCATCGCCTCGTCCAGGAGTAAATTCGTCATGAGACATTGACTAGCTGAATTAAGACTGTTAGCGAATACGAAATAGACAGTCAAGGTGTCGCTGACAATTAGGAACATCCACACACCGCCACTCGTAACTGATTTGTGAATAGCCCATTTCGAGCACACCTTGCATCACACTAATGAACACAGAGCTAACTACGCTGGACTCTAGTTCACCTTGCAGGCACCCGTGCCACACGAAGTTCTAAAGGGGGTCACCGAAGTTCACTCTGGGCAAATTCTAATTACTTATATTCCGCAATATAAAATGATGAATCGATATTCATACATGGTCTCAAATTGTCTGCCTCCTGCAAGGTGCAAATCGATTAGTTTGCTAATCAAGGTGCGGAGGAATTGAGAGTGCACTTCCTCGGCAAACATGGGTGCGAAGTGGAAAGGAATCATTCTGTTTTTGGAGTACAGAGCCGTGAAAGATAACCATTGGGCACCGTAGGCAACAAGCTTCGTTCGCTGAATTCATACTACTCATTACGTCCGTGGGTACGTCCAATCACGTGATGCAAGCGAACAACCCACGTTGGCCGAATGGGCCTCATAATTTCGGATGGTTTTCCGATCAGGATTGCATTTTCTGCTTTCTCGTAGACAATGATAAATACCAACCAGAGGGCGAAACCGGTCGTGGACTGTCGTAGAGTTTTCAGCAACCTTGTGAGTAGTTTCCTTTATGAAAATATACAGCGATATCTCGAATATCGTGCCAACTGAATCATGAGGCGGCCTGTGTGCAGCANCGCTGAATTCATACTGCTCATTACGTCCGTGGGTACGTCCAATCACGTGATGCAAGCGAACAACCCACGTTGGCCAAATGGACCTCATAATTTCGGATGGTTTTTCCGATCAGGATTGCATTTTCTGCTTTCTCGTAGACAATGATAAATACCAACCAGAGGGCGAAACCGGGTCGAGGTTTACGAAGACTTTTCAGCAACCTTGTGAGTAGTTTCCTTTACAAAAAGTAATCCATTGTTCTCTCACACGCCTAAGAAGAACCTCCAAGTGATTTCTCATAAACTGGAAGACAAAGCCTGAACTCCCGATACGATAAGGTGGTTCTTCCCTTACCGTCGCGAGTGTGTTGGTCATCCGCACTAACCGATGGGAACTTCCGATTGACATTCAGCACTGATCACACTTGCTAGGTGAAATATCTCACCAATAGACTCTGCGTTTGCTTCAAAGCTGGTCATTCAATCACTTGGCATGGGTTTTCCGTTTGAAGCGAATCTTTGCCCAATATGATATGATTAAATCGGCTAGAAAGATTAGAATGTCTGTAATATATTTGCCAATTAGATATCTTTTGATATTCCACTTCCATTCGAGGAGCAAAGTCCCAGTAAGGTCAGTTATGGGGAGCATAGCATGAAGTGTAGGCAGACGTGAGAAAGATTTTTCTTAGAAAAAGTTTGTTACACAACTCCGAGGAATTTGATCGACCCACTGATCCCCCCGTGTCTTCTCAAAACCACTTGGCTTTGAACGGGTCGTACGACTACTGCTTTCTAGAGGGAGCCGCTTTGTCAGCGATGAGCAGGAAACGAAATGTGACAACTTGAGGATGTTGGCACAAGACTGGTCAAGACACAGGGATTTCTGGACTCACAGAGAAACCGTTGAATCTTAGGATACTTGGGTTTTCTTGTTTTTGGATTCGCCGCAGGCACTTTACTTTGTTTGGATAGTTTGTCTGGATAGTTGGGCGTTTGTATCGTTCCGGACGAATCCACCAAATCGTAGCAACAGTCATCTGGCCCTTGGGTTGTCGAAATCGGGAGGGAGAGAGATGGAAAGGCATGAGCAGCAGTCTAGTGGGAGTAGTTTGTCCGTTTTGGAGACAAGCATGAGGCGGGAAGAAGTCCAAAAACGTTTCTGAGGGCAAAACCTATTTTCTGTGGATTTGATGTCAGATCAGTTTTTTTGTATTAGTTATCGGACAAGCAAATGAGCAGTACTTGTTTTTATTTTTGAGGCCATCAAGTTGTGGGCTTGCGAGTTTAAAAGCAACCGTTCTGTTTAGCGAGACTTCGCGTGTATAGACATAAGGTAATGTCAGGTATGTGGCATATGTTATGTTCTATATATAATATGGTAACGTATATTGCAACTGTTGTGGACCACAGTTTTCCGAATGCCTTCCCAACACCGTGAATCGAATTTTGGATAGCTGATGCGCTTAACCAAACCAGAAACTCAATGAATCAGCCGATCTATGGACCAATGACGCGTAAAGGCGCCTGGTGTGCAGCCGAAAGCGGACTGCTTGTAAAGCTCACATAGGAAGTTCTAAGCGGGCCGCAAATGATATTAAAAATTGAACCTATCTATCAAGGAAGAACAACCGAATAAAAGGAAGTGTTGTAGGATGCTTGAAAAATGATACTAAAAATAGATCCTAGCTATCAAGGACAACGGAAGGACAATCGAATAAAAGGAAGTGTTGTAGGATGCTTGGTGTGGTTCGTCCACCTTCCACCTTGAGCAAAGCTCTTTTGAACATATCCACGAGTCGCTATGCCATACCGTTTGATTGTGGGTGATATGGGGGCGTTCCAACATGTTCTACCCCATTGGCAAGGCAGAACTCGGCGAATTGAGGCGACGTGAACTGTGTCCCGTTGTCAGATACGAGGATAGCCAAAATGACTGAAAGCTTCCTACAACTTGTTAATGGTTGCTGTGGTAAAATCTCCCGCTACTTACTGTAAGCGTCCACGATGACGAGAAAGCTTTGACCGCTCATGGGACCTGCATAGTCCAAATGTATCCTCGACCACACATTTTGTGGTACCAGCCAAAATCGAAGTTCGACTTGCCCGTCAATATGAGGCCAATGAACATAGCTTCAAATCAACTATTTCCTTAGAGTAATCCCCGGATATCCTGTTGCAAATCAAACCTCTGCAATTCCTGCGGTGTGAACACACGTTCTGGGAACAACAGGCAATCCTAATAAAAGCACTATTTAGGCACTCACACACATGCCGTACAAAATGGCACATAGAGAAACAGCTACGAAATCGGTAAGGCAAACTAACACGTGACCAGCTGGTCTCTGTCTGATATGACTGCAACGCACGTAGCAAAAATTGATGAACTCTCCTCTCTCATCAATCTGTCATCATCACATCGTGCGAACGTAGTGGGCACCAAATAACACTCGGATCGGATCTTTTCCAGATAAGCCCGCCAAAAATTTAACACCCGCCACACAAAAAAAGTTTAGAAAAAAAGAGGATATGAAATCTGTACTATTAGTTTTTATTGAAGGGGGTGAAATTGG